TGAAAGGGTCATTGGATATTATTTATCCTCTCCATTTATTTTACTTTTTTTGTTGTTTTATTTTGTATTGTTTTTGGAGGAAGTCGGGTTTAAGTGACTTGCCAACACTAGCCTCTCCAAGGACATTGAAGCATCGAAGTGGATAGGGTTCTGGGCCTGGAGTCAGGAATACCAAAGTTTAAATCTTATCTCTGACACTTAATAGCTATGGCAAATCACTTAATCCTGTCTGCCTCAGTTTCCTCATCTGTGAAACAAACTAGAGAAGGAAATGGAAAACCACTCTAGTGTCTGCCACGAATACCCCAAAAAGGGATAATGAAGAGTTGGACATGACCGAAACAACAAAACAACAGCAACAAAATCTCTTCAATCTTTTACCTATTGGCTCATCCTCTGATGTCTCCAGACATTCCTGCGACTCCCCCATCCTTAAAAAAATTTTCACTTGTTCCGAGATTAGCTGTTGTCCTATATCTCTTCTCCCCTTCACAGCTAACCTCCTTGACAAAGCCTTCCGTGTTCTGTGCCATCACTTCTCCTGTTATCACTCTTCTGAATCCTCTGCAGTTTGGTTTCTGACCTCAGCATTCAATTGAAATTGCTATTTGAGAAGTTAACAATGATCTCTCAACTGTTAACTGCCAGATCTGATGCCTTTTCTCAGTTTTCATTCTCCTTGACTTCTTTTCAGTATTTGATATTATTAATCACCATCTCCTCTTGAATACTCTCTCCTTTCTAGGTTTTTGTGACATTGTTCTTTCCAGGTTTCCTATCTGTCTGAATACTCCTCAGTCTCCTTTGCTGAGGAGAATCTGTGTCATAAACCTCTAACCATAGTTATCCCTTAACAGTGACCTGGGTCCCTTTCTCTTTTCATTCTGTCCTATCTTATTTGTTGATCTCATTAGTTAACTCCAGTGAAACAATTCCCAGATTTATATGTCCAGCCCTAGTCACTTTCTTGAGTTCCAGTCCCACATGACCAACTGCTAATTAGACATTTTGAACTGGATGCCCTGTAGGTGGTTCAAATTCAGCATATTCAAAACAGAGTTATCTTTCTTGCCAATCCTGCTTTTCTTTCCAACCTTTTCTGATTGCTGGGGGGTGAGAGTGGGGGCAGTGGGCATATCCTCCCACTCAGGTTCATAGCATCTTCACTTAACTCCTCGCTCAACCCATGCTTGTTTCTTTCCCTGCAACATATGTCCCCATTATGTCCCCTTCTCTCAAGAATTGGAAATTGAGGGGATGCCCACAATTGGGGAATTGCTGAACAAGTTGTGGGTATATGAATGTAATGGAATACTATTGTGCTATAAGAAATGTCGATATACTTAGCCCTTCTCAGCAATGCAAGGATCTAAGACATCTCCAAAGGTCTTATACTGGAAAATGCTATCCATATCCAGAGAAAGAACTGTGGAGTTTGAATGTAGATCACAGCATACTATTTGCTTTTTTTTTTCTTCTGTTGTGTTTTGTTTCTTCTTTCTTGTGGTTCCTCCTGTCGGTTCTAATTCTTCTTTACAACATGACTAATGTGAAAATATGTTTAATAGGAATGTATATGTAGAACCTATATCAAATTGCACACCATTTTGGGGAGGGAGGGGGAAAAATTTAAAATCCAAAAGCTTATGGAAGTGATTGTTGAAAACTAAAAATAAATTAATAAAAAAAAGAAATGAAGTAGAGAAAGAGCAAGAGGGCCTGTAGAAACATAAATCAAATGACTTAGGGTCACCATGTAGTTTGCAGAAATCTCTAAATTCTAAATATAGTATCTCTCAGTTGAATCCCTTTTAGATTTAAGCAACAAAACACAAAATTAAGTACTTCTATGTCAGGTTTAAAGTAGGACATCTCATGCCTGACATTCATTATGCAATATAAAGTACTTTATTGTGTTATCTTTCTGATCCTCCCTACAGCCTAAATGAGGGTAGGTAATAGAAACCTCATTTTACAGATGATGAAAAACTGAAGATCAGAGAGGTTAAATGATTTTTCCCATGGTCATACAGCTAATAAGTATGTGATTCAAACCTAGACCCTTCTTGATTCCATGTATGGCATTCTTTCAAATGACCACATTGCTTCTTACCATCATAAGCTTGTCCAGCATAGTCCAGAAACCCGGTTGCTTACTTTTTACAGTAATAATTTTGACTGCTAATGCAGTTGACTTTAATCATTAGTCTGTTGTCACATAATGAAGTAATCTATTCTTTCCTGAGCTGTGGGTTTGTGAATGCCACATTTTATTTAATCCAGTTAAATACTTCAGTAAAACCTTGATGATGATTTTTTTGGGGGGTGGGGTGGGCTAGGCAATAGAGTTAAGTGACTTGCCCAGGGTCACACAGCTAGTAAGCGTTAGGTGTCTGAGGCTAAATTTGAACTCAGGTCCTCCTGAATCCAGGGCTGGTGCTGTATATCCACTGCGTCACCTAGCTGCCCTAGATGATTTTGTTTTTTGTTTTGAATTTATTTGCAATTCACGGAACAAAACAAGCATAGCACAGTATAGTAAAAAAAAGATGATTGCACATGAAACTGCAAATCTACCACATACAACTTGTCTTTCCAAAAAAGTTATCATGTAGGTATATATCTCTCCCCGCTGCCACTACCCTAGAAATGGCTAGAGGTATATAGAAGACTTTGTTGCCCACTTTATAAATTGGAGTAGAACTCAGCTCTTAATTTGTATGTTGATATAGATACATCCCCTATATCTAGATATCTATAGCCATTCATCTAAAGATAATTATTACTGCTTCACAAATATTGGAAGGCACCCTTTTAAGGCTACTTCTGTTAATCTCATTTTCATGTTCTCTGTGACTAAGGTCTGCTTTAGAAATATGTTGGTGTTGACTTTTTTTTCTTCTTAGAAGAAAGAAAATAACATACTGGAAAGTAAAACCTGTATTATAGGTTATTTTTAGGGTATGCTATTTAGTGTGAAGACAAGTAAATTTAATCCTGGTTTTCCCCCCATTGTAGTGGAGGGGTAAACTCATCCCTAAATTATTGCAGCAATAGAAAGAATGAATAATTTAAAAGCATTTATTAACCACTTGTGCAGGCACTATGCTATGTTGTAGGAATACAAAGAGAAAAGCAAGACTGTCCTTTCTCTGAATGAGCTCACATTGTAAAAAGGGGGAGACTCTGTGTGTGTGTGTGTGTGTGTGTGTGTGTGTATCTCCACTTCAGGTCAGAAGGAAAGGAAAGCAGATGGTGATGCATCTTCTTTAACGTCATTTCTATTAATAATATCATATTGGTTCCTAATGTTGAAACATTTGACAGTGCCAAAGAACTCTAGTGGTTAGAATTCTTTTCCAAACCTTTAGTAGCTACAGCTGCTGCAGCATTTGCAAAGGAAATTTCCCCTCCACAAAGGTTGCTCCTTTGCCCTACATCTGTAGGGTCCAGTCTGGAAGCAGGTAGCTACTGTCCCTAGGAGAGTTAATCAACTGTTAGTCTTTTTTTTGTAATTTAAAAAAAATATTTTATTATTTCCCCAGTTACCTGTTAACATTCATTTGTTTTTAATTCGAATTCCAAATTCTCTTCCTCCTTCTCATTTTTCCACCTCCATAAGATGATAAACTAAAGGTTATATATATATATCTATATATAGATATAGATAGATATATGTATATATATCTATATATATACATATATATCTATATATATATACATATATATCTATATATAGATATAGATAGATATATATGTGCAGTCATGTAAAACATTTCCAAATTGTCATTTGGTGGAAGAAAACTCAAACAACAACAAAAAAAAATAGAGAAAGTGAAAATTAGTATTCTTCAGTCTGCACTCAGACTCTATCACTTCTTTCTTTGTAGGGGGATAGCATTTTTCATCATGAGTCCTTTGGGATTGTCTTAGATCATTATATTGCTGAGAAGAGCTAAATCATTCACAGTTGTTCATTATATAATATTGCTGCTGTTGTGTATGATGATCTGGTTCTGCTCACTTCACTCTGCATTAGTTCATGTTAGTCTTTCCAAGTTTCTCTGAAATCAATCCTGCTTGTCATTTCTTATACCACAATAGTATTACAATATAATAGTATTGCATTACAGTCATATACCACAACTTGTTCAGCCATTCCCTATTTGATGGGCATCCCCTCAGTTTCCAATTCTTTGTCACCACAAAAAGGGCTGCTATAAATATTTTTGTACATAGAGATCCTTTTCCTTTGATCTCTTTGGGAAACAGACTTAGTAGTGGTATTGCTGGATCAGAGGGTATGCACAGTTTTATAGCTCTTACTTTGAGCATACTTCCAAATTGCTCTCCAGAGTGGTTGGATCAGTTCACAACTCTACCAACAGTTCATCTATTAGTCTTGATAGTGGTAGGCATGATGGACGACTTCTCTGCAAGATTTGCTGTTCTCAGTGATTTCTATGAGGGCCAAGCTGGAAGCAAGGTCAGTGATCTAAGGGGCACTGCTGTTCTTAGAGCTGCTGGGCTCAAGGTACTGGACTGGCACCACTAGGGTCTAAGGTGTGGTTGTAGCCAAGATGGTTTGGCTGGCCTGGCACATGCTGTCTCCTGTCATGCTCATTCACATCAGAGGTTATCGAATATATGAATTGATAGCTTTGCAATTAGGAGTTGTTTCAGAACTATCATCAAGTAACCATCCATCCTTTCCACTTGAAATAATGCCAATTTTGAAGCAATTATCTGAGCATCTGATTCTTTTAAGAGTTTTTTGACAATTTCATATTATATTTATAAGAGAAGTTAGACAATTTTTCTCTACCTATAATGAAATTAAATTTTAGACTATCAGCATCACACCAACTTTTAAAGCCACTGTATCTTGGGAATATCATATTCAAAATATTATCTCTGTTATATTAGAATTTAATGGAGTACTTCAAAGCAGTGAACTTTATAACATGAACAACCTCTTTGGTGTTTGCTTTTTCTTTCAGGTATCTAAAAAGGTTTAAGGTGATGAAGATCAAAGTTCTGAGAAGCTGGTGCCGTCAGATTCTAAAAGGGCTTCAGTTTCTTCATACCCGAACACCACCTATTATTCATCGAGACCTTAAGTGTGACAACATCTTCATCACTGGCCCAACAGGATCAGTCAAGATTGGAGACCTGGGTCTGGCAACTCTGAAGCGGGCTTCTTTTGCCAAGAGTGTGATAGGTATGTTTCCAGTGTGCCTTGGAGCCTAGCTGGCCATTCTGGCAGTCTTTGATCTAGAGGTTTGGTCTTCTTGGCATATTTTTCATTAAGTAAAGTCAGTTTTCTTTTTTTAACTATTACTTGAGTGTATGATTATTTCTGCTTACAAGGAGCGAACTCTCGGTAATTGTGCTGCTAGAAGCTTTTTTTTAAAAACATCTTGGATAATATTGATATTTCAAAATTTTCTGTGGTAATCAAGTACTTTGAACTTTTTTGACTTACTTTTGTTGAGCAATTCAGTTGGCCTTTGAGCAATACTTGTATGTTGAGGAAGTACAAAATGATATTAAAGAAATGGAACTTCAATTGAATTCTGATTTTTTTTTTACTATGTATCTAAATAGCCCATTTGATAAGTTCAGCATTTGCTGTGACTGCAACCTGGTTAGAAAATATTAAAATCACTGACCAAGTGGTTTTATTGACCAGTTTTTCTCCTGGATCTCTGGAAGGAGTTAAGAGTCTGAAAAAGAAAATAAACTGTACCTTATCAGTCTTTTGGAGCAAGAAAAAGGAGGAGAAAGCACTCTGCTGTCTCTAATCATTCTCTCCTAAAGGCATAATCTCAGAAGGTTGCCATATATTTTGAAATGTTTTCAAACCAGACAACTTTAAAAATCAGCTATTTCCCCAGTTAGACCAGATTTTTAGATGTTCTTGGAAAAGGACAAGTAGAACATGTGGATTACTTTTTACGTTTGCAGATGTTACCACAAGTATTAGATATTTGCTGTCATTTTTGTTTTATTGCTAATAATTAATAGGAGAATCTCAAATTGAGTTTTTCTAAAAATATTTTGTTTGACATCTTCAAATCTTTTGCCTCATTCATACAGTGTACGGTTCCTGGTGGGAATGCACTGTAATTTAAAGAGTCTAGGATTAACCTTCCTTAAACAAACTCTCTGCTTATAACTCAATCTCTCTGTATTTCTGAGTATTTTTTTTGCCTGTAGGATGCCCTTCACTATATTTCCTGTATCTGCAGTAGGCTTATAATGTGTACTGCAGGTGTGATGGTAAGTATGTGAAGACAAGGGCTCTGGTGAGTGGCCTTTGTGGACGATTACATTTTAACTTATTCCTTGCAAATTTTTATTGAACACTGGGTTTTTCATTGCAAGGCCTTTATAAAGTGGAACTGAACAGATGGGATGTATAAATGGTTGAGACTATCTGGTAATTTTAATCATTACTACTGCTTGGCAGCAGAGGGCAGCAGGTATTTAGAAATTTTCAGTGCAGGTAGGTGTTATACTTCATTTGTAGCCTTGCTAGTCCCTTACTTTTTTCTCTTCACTTATCATCAATCAGAGTTATATTCAATTATAGCCATGGGCTTTATTTTGATTTTTTTGTTCAATAAACTCATTTATGAGGCAGCAAATATTTTTCCACTCTGTTCTTTATTTCTCATAAAGGCCTTGCAGTGCAAGACACCTATTAGTTACATTGATGCAACAGACTTAAGTAGGGTTCCTCCCTCATTTTTTGCTTCTACTTTCTCTTTTCTCTCACAGGTGGCCCCTTCTGCTTCTCCCTGCGGTGAGTAACGTCTGCTGCCTCTCGAATTGAGACTGAATCGTTCTTTTAATTTAAGGTACCCCAGAGTTCATGGCCCCTGAGATGTACGAGGAAAAATATGATGAGTCCGTTGACGTGTATGCTTTTGGAATGTGCATGCTTGAGATGGCCACATCCGAATACCCTTATTCTGAGTGCCAAAATGCTGCGCAGATCTACCGTCGAGTGACCAGTGTAAGTTTTCCCCTGCATTTTGACCAGTTCTTGAGCTTTTGCCATGTAGAACAGCGGTCTCAGGATGCATAATATAGCTTGATACAATAAAGAAAAAAGTAAGACATTCTGAAAAGTTTAGGAGAAAAATATTGAAGCTTTTGCTTCTAGAACAGCATAAGATAAAAGTGTGTAAATGGTTTTCCCTCTTCCCCCTTAAAAAAAAAAATCCAGCTCCTACTGAATTCTTCCTTTGCCTGTTTTATGCTGGACCCTGCTTGTATTCAGGTAAATTCTGATAGAAGGTATAGTATCACTTGGAAAACATAAAAAGATTACAGAAATATCTACATTTCTACATTGTTTAAAAATATAACTCTGCAAATATCCTGTCTTTTATACCCCACACCCCACCCAGGAAATTCAGTTTGATAATTTTTTAAGATCTATAAATTAGATCTTTTGAAAAATAGCAAATTTTTAGGTTTTAAATTCAGGATATTCTACCCAAGATTTGCTTGTCCAGTTTATCCTCAGTGATTTAGTTTAATTCACTCAACAAACATATATTGAGCTAGGTGCTAGATCCTAGTGATCATAAGTTAATAGCTGACTAGTGTTTAAATTGCCCTTGACTGCAGTGGTCTGCTGGCAGGGCTTTCCAGTGCTGTCCAGTTGAAACATTTAACAAAATCATTAGGTAAATAATTACAAAACAGGTGAGGTAGTGTTAAAAGAGGTACTGTAATTTAAATGCATGACAGAAAGTGTCAAAATTAAACCAAGTGATTCTACTAAATTTTTAAGATACTAAAAAATGGTAACTGTGGTAATGATCAACATTTAGATTTTCTAGTTAGTAAGAATAGTATTACAGATCTTTAATGAGAAGGAAAGACTTTGTCATATATGGGTTGTATGCATTGGTTTTAATCTTTCCAGAAAAGGTTGGGGACAGAAAAATTTTAGAGGACCACGATCATTTTGATATATGAATTTGCTGGAAAATAAGAGGTGTGCCCTGTGAATAGTTGATAGCTTTTCATGTTTCATGTAACATAGTTGCATGTTCGTAGCTAGTGTTCCAGAATTTAAATTTTAACTGTGTTGCAGTGTATTCTGGAATATAGAACAGGAGAAGTCTTGTAAATAGGTTGCTGCATTTAGTTTCAGAGAATAGTAGGATGAGTTGATTTCTCCCCCACCCCTACCCCCCCACCCCAATTTACCATCTAAATATTTTTCAGTTCGTTATCATTCAGCAGTCCAACAGTACATTACTTGTAAGTTCTTAGTTAATATTTACATTGAAAGGTACTCTTAAGGTTTTGTCTCAACATGTGAGTTTATAATACTCTTTCATTAGGTTAATTCCTAGCTAAATGGTTAACCACAAGGCTCAGTATTAAAATCTCTTCTCTGAATGGCTTGATAAGGATGTCTCCTCAGCTTGAACCAGTGATGTCCAGATCTTCATCCATAAATCTTAGTTTCTTATTTCTAGCTAAAATCAAATATAACATTTTTTAAAATCTCCTTTTCTCAAATGCCTCTTTGTTTTCCACCCTGGTGGTAACATCATTTCTCTCGAACTTGGAACCTAAGAAAGAAACTTGAAATGTAATATTCATCCTTTACTTCTTTCTTAAAATTGCTTTTCTTTGTAATTTCTTTATTGGCTAATTCTGTTATTTATTAAATCATGACATGTTATCAAATGAACAAATAGTTCTTCGTCCTAGTGAGCAAATAGATTCAAACCTGAAAGATGACAACTGCTTTAGAAGTTTTACTGATGAAATGTGGCTAGAAAATTTCCAAGTTGTTTCTTATAAAATGTTATTCTATTAATAATCTTGCTGTGAAAGGAAAGAGAACTGTAGTTCTATGGCCATTTCCTCACTTTTTCACATACTTTCTTAGCTGCATAGAATCATGTAAGGTGGAGAGACACTAAAGGTCATCTAATCCAACCTACAAGCCCCTCTACAACATCCCTGACAAGTGTTTATCCAGGCTTTGTTCAAAGACTATATTCTAGTGACTAGCCTGTAGCCTGTTTTTTGGGTCCTGACTCTGATAGCTAGCCTTCCCAGCTTTGAATTTGAAATCAGATTTGATGCGCCATCTCTGTCTTTATCCAACTCATTGTTTTAAAAAGAGCCAAACAGATCCCTGGGGCACTGCACTGGAAACCTACTTCCGAGTTACACTCAATGTTCTACTTCAGTGTATTTGCCCAGGTAATCCAATATGCCTAGAATTTTGACCTTATAGAATCCTTGTCTTCCTTCAAGACTTAGTTCAAATGTCATATTTTTCATACTCTCTTGAAGGTGCTGGGATTTTTTTTTTTATATTTGTCCCCCCAATATCTGACATCACATTTTAAACATAGCAGGTGTTTTGTTTTGTTTTGTTTTGGCCCAGAAATGCAATTTGATCAATTTGAAGAATTCAGTGTAAAAACTCCCCCAACTGATGAAGATCTATAATTTGGTTTTACAGAGTTGCTTAGGGGATTGAGTTTAAGTGACTAGACAATTCACATAGCTGTTAAAGGCAGAACTTGAGCCTAGATCTTTATAATTCCAGGGCCAGCTCCCTCTCTATTCAGTAGATGCTTAATTGAGTGATAGAACTAGGTTCCTTAGTAGGTATCATAATGTTTCATGAGTCTATTGGCTTTACAAATGAAGGAGACTTCATTCCTTCAATCTATAGTACAGGGGCAGCTAAGTGGTGCAGTGGATAGAGCATCATCCTCAGACATTTGACACTTACTAGTTGTGTGACCCTGGGCAAGTCACTTAACCCCATTGCCTAGCCAAAAACAAAAAACAAAAAAAAAATCTATAGTACAATAGTGATATAGAAGATACAAATGCAAATGTTTTAATCATGTATTCCCACAACTGTTTTCAAAACTTTAATGAACTTGTTCAGCCATTCCCCAGTTGATGAGCATTTCCTCAATTTCTAATTATTTGCCCCCAGAAAAGAGCTGCTATAAGTATTTTTGTACATATAGATCTTTTTCTTTTTTGTTTTTATCTCCTTTGGGATACAGATCTAGTGGTATTGCTAGGTCAGAGGATATACATCATTTTATAGCCCTTTGGGCATAATTCCAAATTGCTCTACAGAATGGTTGAATCACTTCACAACTCCACCAGTAGTGCCTTAATGTCTCATTTTTCGCACATCCCCTCCAACATTATTAGACAAACTAATAGGTATGAGATAGTACCTCAGAATTGTTTTAATTTGCATTTCTCTAATCAATAGTGAGTTAAAGTATTTTTTTTGGCTATATATAGCTTTGATACCTTCATCTGAAAACTGGTCATATCTTTTGATCATTTATCAATTGGGGAATGACTGAACAAGTTTTAGTATGTAATTTTAAGGGAATACTTTGTACTATAAGAAGTGATGAGCAGGATCCTCTCAGAAAAACCTGGAAAGATTTGCACGGGCTGATGGAAAGTGAAATGTACTGTGTACAAAGTAACAGCAATATTGTAAGATGATCAGCTATGAATGACTTAGCTATTCTCAGCAATACAATGATCTAAGACAACTCTTAAGGACTTATGATGAAAAGTGCTGTCCATCCTCAGAGAAAAAACTGATGGTGCCTGAATACAGATTGAAACATACTTTTTTTACTTTATTTTTCTTTCTTTTCTTGTCTTTTTTTTACTTGTTGATATTTTATTAATTTATTTTGATTTATCAACAATCACTTCAATAACCTTTTGAGTTTTAAATTTTTCTCCCTCTCCCTCCCTCTCTTCCTCCCCAAGACTGCGTGCAATCTGATATAGGCTGTACATATACATTCCTATTAAGCATATTTTCACATTAGTGGTATTGTAAGGAAGAATTAGAACCAATAGGAGCAACCATCAGAAAGAGGAAACAAAACACAACAGAAGAAAAAAATTATATGCTTCAATCTGCATTCAAACTCCATAGTTCTTTCATTAGATGTGGATAGTGTTTTCCATCATGAGACTTTTAGGGATGTCTTAGATCCTTGCATTGCTGAGAAGGGCCAAGTCTATTAATGTTAGTCATCACACAAATGGCTGTTACTGTGTGCAGTGTTCTCCTGATTCTGCTCACTTTACTCAGTCCATACAAGTCTTCCGAGGTTTTTCTGAAGTTACTTTGTTTTTCTTAAGGTTTTTTTGAGGGGAGGGGGGTTGTCTGTTTTCTTTCTCCATGTGACTATTATGGATATGTTTTGCATGTCTACACATGTATAACTAATATTGAATTGTTTGCCTTCTTAATTGGAGGGGAGGAAAGGAGAGAATTTGGAACTCAAAGTTTTAAAAACAAACATTAATTGTTTTTACGTGTAAGTGGGGGAAATAAAACACTAAATGAAAGGAAAAAAACTTTAATGAAGACAACACATTTGAGATTAAAACAAACACACACACACACACACACACACACACACACACACACACACACACA